GTTCTTACCCACGAAAGCTTATGCTCCCAATACTTCTGTTAGTCTTAAAGGTGCCACAGGGCCCTCTGTTGCTTTAGATAAATATATTATTCAGCTAATATTTTACCAGATCCACTTATCTAGTACATCACATTTTCAAAGTGCTGCAATCTACACAACCACCTAAATCACTACCTTAGTTATCTAAGTTTTCCTCCACGGCTATCTAAACTAAGTGGGGGCAGGGATTGTTTGGATTGGTCAGTAATATAGTTTTAGCCATCTAAAATAGTTACGTCTATTATATTGATTCTTGAATCTGTTTTAGTTGCATAGTTTGCTATGAATTAGAAAATTCACCCTGCACTGCTTTTCTGCATTGTCACTACACAAGTCTGAGCTTGTGGAGACAGATGCCTCAGTATCCTGTACAGTGCTTCACTCTTCAGTCCCTTTGGTTATGCACAGTGCTACAAAGTAATCCATTTTGTGCCATGTTCCATGTTTGCATTCTTGGTTCAGCAGTTATTCTCACTATCTCACTATGGGTATTATCACACATCACTACCTGCTGCTTTTACCAAGTTCCACATGATTTGGCTTTGCATGTTTGTTTTGCTTATGAACTTTTCTTGGATAGCAGTATTTATGAGTGACCTCTTAAAGGTCTTTCAGAGCCCTTTGATCAGTTACCTGACTTTTTAATAATTTCAAAGTGATGTGCCATTTCTCTTGCAACTGTCAGTGTCATGTCAGATTTATAATTGCAGATTCTGTAATAATTCCTCATCGGAAATGCCAGTTAATCTTGTCACAAATCTATTCACTTTTCCCAGCGCAAAGATACTGTTTTTTTATTAACTCATGCCAGCTTCTAACAACTGCTTTGACAGATTCCCCAGGCTTCAGAAAGTACTAATAAAAACAAAACCTTTATGAATGAGGTTAGTCTTAAGTAACTAGGGCTCAATCCTGGGAGATATGTCCTATGTGAGAGGTGCTGTGTGCGCGTGATGTCCACTGAAATCAAGGAGAACTGAAGAGATTCAGCAGCTCTCAGCACCTCGCAGGATCAGATCATTATCAAATTTCTTTAGGACTATATTAAAGTCTTCCCTAAGAAGAAGATGGTGGCATTCATACCCTGATTCAGCAAAGCACTTAAGCATGTACTTAATTTTAAGCATGTGCTTAAGTCTGTGATGGGTTACACAAACCCCACACTGGAATGGAAGGGGTTAAAGGACTATACTGGGCCCAGCCAGCCCCACCCCTCCAACCCTGCAGAGCATGCTCCAACTGAGACAGGGTTGAAAAGGGAGCAAGTAGCCGTGATCAGAAGGAGGAGGGTGGGGACGAGTGCAGCCCTACCCTGAAAGGTTCCTGCCAAAAGGGGGCCGGAGAAGACTCCCTGAAGGAACAGAACTGTATGCGGAGCCCAGCTGCAGCTGGCAGTTTGGTTTCCTTTTCCTTTTCTCTTTATCTGTGACCAGAAGTGGAGGGAGAAAAGCAGTGGTAGGAAGTGACCCAGGGAAAGTAGCTCAGAGCCCACCGCTACCCCCAGGCCAAACACCGCTGACCCTCTGAGGGACCTGGATCAGAGCCTGGCGAAGTGGGCGGACCCGGGGTCCCCTATCACTGCCTCATAACCAAGTGGACACTAACTACTAGGCCCCTTGAGGACCCTATTACAAAGTCCATCCTTCTTTTGCAAAGCAGTTAAGCATATGCTTGAAGTTGTAGACCTTGGATAAACAATGCAAGGAGAAATAAGGAATTAGAGGTTAACAATGGACAAAGAATAAACTCATAAATGGCCTTGTAAATAACTAGGGTTGCCAACCCTCCCAGTTTCACCAGGAGTCTCCCAGAATCGGACTCTATCTCCCAGAGGCTACTGAAGCCAAACCAGGAGATTTTAGGCAGCTAAAAGTTTGTCGGTGCAGCCGGGCTAAGGCAGGCAGGAAGCCTGCCTTAGCCCCGCTGCGCCGCCGACTGGGAGCCACCCGAGATAAGTGCTGCCTGGCCAGAGCCCGCACCCCTGACCCCTCCCGCACCCCAACCCCCTGCCCAAGCGCTGAGCCCTCTCCAGCACCCAAACTCCCTTCCAGAGCTTACACCCTGCACCCCCTCCTACACTCCAACCCCTGCCCCAGGCTCAGCCTGGAGCCCTCTCCCACACTCCGAACCCCTTGGCCTGAGCCCAGAGCCCGCACATCCTCCCACACCCCAACCCCGTGCCCCAGCCCAGTGAAAGTGAATGAGGGTGGGGGAGAGCGAGTGATGGAGGGAGGGGGGATGGAGTGAGCGGGGCAGGGTCTTGGAGAAAGGGCAGGGCAGGGCCTTGGGGAAGGGGTGGGGCAGGGGGCGGGGCAAGGTGTTTGGGTTTGTGGGATTAAACAGTTGTCAACCGTATAAATAACATGTAATTAATAGATAATGAAATAGTAAGAAGAGTGATGTGTGATAAGCTTGCTGGAGCTTTGCTTATTAACATACTTTGCAGCTCGTGGACAGTTCATTATCTGTACAGAGTTTGATTATAAAAATTAGTACACCAATCATAAATAGTATTAAGTGTGTACATAAACTGATTCATGATTGTGTATATTGAATGTGTGGTATACCCTGTGCTCATCCCCTACACTTGAGCCTGATCAACTGAAGTGTAGTTTGATTGTATGCCAATAAACTTCATTGATGAGTTTGGAGATCAACTGATTCATTGGATTCCAAAGAACTGGACAGAGTGTTCTCCCTTGAACTGGATGAGCTGTTCTGGATAAACCAACTGAAAAAGGTCTCGGAGGGAATCCTAACAGAAGTTTTGTGTATTTAAATGGTCTGCTAAATTGGGGCCTCAGCACTTTATAGGATTGGACCTGCAATTTGGTGCCCATTCTCCAAAGACTCTTAAGCAAAGTTAGCTGTTGGGTTGGAAAGGTTCTCTCATGGATCAGTAACTGGTTAAAAGATAGGAAACAAAGGGTAGGAATAAATGGTCAGTTTTCACAATGGAGAGTGGCAAATAGCATGGTTCCCCCAGGATCTGTAACTGGCACCAACGCTATTCAACATATTCATAAATGATCTGGAAAAAGGGCTAAACAGTGAGATGGCAAAGTTTGTAGATGATACAAAATTATTGAAGATAGTTACATCCAAAGCTGATTATGAAGAGTTACAAAGCGATCTCACAAAAGTGGGTAACTGGGCAACAAAATGATAGATGAAATTCAGTGATGATAAATGCAAAGTAATGCACATTGGAAAACACAATCCCAACTATACATACAACATGATGGGGTCTAAATTAGCTGTTACTACTCAAACAACAGATCTTGGAATCATCGTGGATAATTTTCTGAAAACATCTGCTCAATGTGCAGTGGCAGTCAAAAAGTCTAACAGACTATTAGGAACTATTAGGAAAATAATAGCTAATAAGACAGAAAATACCACAATGCCCCTATACAATGCCCACATCTTGAATACTGCATGCAGTCTGGTTGTCCCATCTCAAAAAAAGATGTATTCAAATTGGAAAAAGTACAGAGAAGGGCAACAAAATGATTAGGGGTATGAAACAGCTTCCATATGAAGAGAGATTAAAAATACTGGGACTGTTCAGCTTAGAAAAGAGACTAAGGTGGGATATGATAGAGGTCTATAAAATCATAAATGGCGTGGAGAAAATGAATAGGGACGTGTTATTTACCCCTTCATATAACACAAGAACAAGGGGTCACTCAATGAAATTACTAGGCAGCAGGTTTAAAAACAAATATAACAAAGTACTTCTTCATACAATGCACAGTCAACCTTTGAAACTCATTGCCGGGGGTAGTGTGAAGGCCAAAAGTATAACTAGGTTCAAAAAAGAATTAGAAAAGTTCATGGAGGATAGCTATTGATGGACTTATTAGTCAAGATGGTCAAGAACACACTCCCATGCTCTGAGCATCCCTAAACATTTGACTGCCAGAGCTGGGGCTGGGACGGGACAATGGAATGGATCACTTCATAAATTGTCCAGTTCTGTTCATTCTCCATGATGAATCTAGCACCGGCCCCTGTCAGAAGACAGGATAGTGGGATAGACAGACCATTGGTCTGACCCACTATGGCCATTCTTATGTTCTTATTCTAAAGGGTATGAAGCATTGTGTGGTTTGTGTCTTATTAGTCTTCTGTGTCATATTTAAGTGATTTTCAACCTTTTTTCATTTGCGAACCCCTACAAAATGTCAAATGGAGGTATGGACCCCTTTGGAAATCTTAGGCTTAGTCTGTGGATCCCAGAGGTCCGCAGATCACAGATTGAAAACCACTGCACTAGAAAGACAGTTTGCCACCATATCTTTTTTATTTACATCTGCTTTTCTGATTCCAGTGTAAGTCTAAATAAAAAGGAGTAATTGTGTAGCATGGACTGGTTCAGGCACGTGTATTGTAAGCAAACAAAAATGCTAGAAAGATATGTAGTGCTTTCTATTACCATCAGAACTCACTCCAGTATAAATGCCTGTTAATATAAATCTTCACCTATTTTGCTCAACCCAGCAGAAAGTTCAAGAAGGTAAAATGTTCTTCTCTGCATGAATAAACTGTGGAATGTATTTGAAAATAAAGATTTTAATTAGAAATGGCATTTCTGAACCTCCTGCTGCTGCCAACCATGTTGCTGAAAAGTGACAAGTCATGCAGCGTGAAAAAAGAGTCTCCATCCTACTGTCACAGAATTATAAAAATAAAAAAGTAATGTTTATTTTTTATACTTTTTAAACAAATTTTTCTCCTTATTGTTAAAATAATGTTAAAGCAAATTAGAACCTTGTCACTCTAAACTCCCAAATACCTTTTCAGCAAGATGGCTGTCACCGGCAAGAAGGCCAAGGACTGTCTTGCTGAAAAGTGGCCTTATTTCTTCATATAGAAGATTGTGTAGTATTTTTTGATCTTTCAGACCGCTCAGCTGAGCAGAATGGATTTTCCTTTCAAGTTCAAATATTGTAGTGAATTGTTGCCATTCTGTCAGCTGTCACTCTAAGTTATGTCACCCTGTCCCCGCCACAGTGGCAGTATGGCTGCAAGTGAATTGTAGTGTGCCTAAGAGCGGTTGGGCCACTAATTACACAGCACAAAGTGAGCCTAATAAACTGACAGCTGTTCTGGCGGTCTGCTGATGTCATCCAGATTGAATGTGACAGTGAAAAGAGCAACATTTGTGATGCTAGCCAAATAAAAATGTAAAAACAGCAGCAACAAAAATATTTTGTCCAAAAAGGCAGCACTTGAAGCAGCACCTGAAGCAGCACCTGCTCTTTAAGGGCTTAAAAACCAAGAGTTCCTCTTTCACTCTCCATTTGGATAGGTTACCTCACATCCCTTCACTTAATCATGTAAAGCAAAATAATAAGAATGACAAAGAAAAAAGTACATTTCTGTGCAATGCCAAGGGATACAAGAGGAGAGAATTTGCAAAGTGATGTCATCACAGCTGCTGGAAAGAGCATGTGTCCAGGCAGCAATTTACAACAGAATTTCCTGTCATTTGAGTGAACATCAAGCCATACCATTTCCTGCACATTTATCTGCACTGAAGGAGCTTTCTAGGTGCATTGGTTGACATGGAAAAGATTAAGAGTAGCCCTTTGTTAAAAAGTGTTGGGGGAGAGGGGATTCAAAAAATATGTCCCTGTGTAAAGAAGAGGCAAAGCACTTGGAAATAGGAAAAAATAGGACAATTTTGCTTCCCTATTCTGGACAATTGGCAATTTTACAAAAGAT